CATTATCTGTCGATTAGGTTTGAACCCCGAACCAAGAAATGTTCATAATTTGAAATATCGTCAGCCCTGGTTATCCGCGCGCCCTAACATCATGAAGATATTTTACTTATGTGAAGGTATTGATGAAGATAATGATAAATTAATAAACAAATTTGGGTTTAAAATTTTAAATTATGTTATTTTACTAAAAATGCAGATATGAAATAAATACCGGTTTCTACCAGTTTTTTTTTTGAAAATATGCTATATTTCCTTGATTGACCAATTAAAAAACAAGGTAAGCATAGAGCTAAAATGATAAATAATGCCTTAATCCCAATTTATATGAACCAATATTGAAATAGAACCGAGACATTCCCCTTTGTAATAAGCGTTTATATGGCAGCTATAAGTTATAGTTGACCGATTTGAATAATTTTTTTTTCAAAAATCAAGTTAAATAAAAAAAAAATATTGGGAAACTTAGAACCCTATAACTAACTTATTTATATTTTTTTCTTAAAAAAACAATTTTTTTTTTCTTAAAAATTTTCTACAACAAAAAAAATTTCACTAAAAAAATTCAATCAAAATTTATATATCTATCTCCCTCGCACTCCCTTTAGCTGAGTTACGATTATTAGTCGGGACACCAACCCGAGTACAGCGTTCGCACTCCCTTTAGCTGAGTGACGGGTATTAGATAGTCGGGATACCAACTATAGCGTTCTCTCTTGTTTTCTATTAAAAATACATCAATTTAGAATTCATACATTATATTCTTAAAAAATATTTTTTATACACCTTAAATTTAACCTGATTCTGAGAGATCTTTAGAAATTTCTCAAAAGAGCCGGGTTTCGCAAAATTCATATTTTACTGAATCGATTCCAGATAAGAATATAGATGCAGATACATACGGATACTAGATCTTGTACACATAAACTAACACCCACACACATGCAGAAACGTAAATCCGAAACACATTAGTGGTTACTGTTAAATTTAGTTAAAAATTAAAATTAAAAAACAACAATCTTTTAAAAACACAGGGCGGCAACACTACTACTGTTTAGGCCGCAGTTGTATTCTTTTATATTTTTTGACTATTTTTTCTAAAATTTGTTTCTCCCTTAAAAAAATTATAATATTATTTAATGAATAGGGTTTGAAAGATAAAGAGCGTATCTCTTAAAAACTTTAACATAAAAAAAAACCATTAATCCGTTTGCCTGTAATACCTTCGGAAAGTTGGCCAACAGTGCTGCCATTTTTTCCTTTTTCCGGACAGGGGTGTCCTTTTTTTAACGGCTTTATCCGGAAAAAATTTGAATCATCCCCTGTCCGGAAATCTGTCCTTTTTTAAAAAACAAGGTTTTTCATTTTAGTTTTGCTAGTCGGTGCTTTTGGTTGGGTTTTTATCATAAAAAAATAAAAAACCTTTTCGATTTTTTCTTTTAAGAGGGGAGATACATATAGAAAAAGTAAAAATTCAATTTTTTTATTACTTAAATTGGTAGAATAACTCTTTAAAAATGTGTCATGAAAGTTTCACGAAGAAATTCGACCTATTTTGGAACTTATACCAGGATGACGGCACCCACCTTCCTTATGCAGTAGATATATTTCATTACTTTAAATACCTTTTTCTCGAAACCACGTTTTCGTCAGCTGCGGATCGCGTATCTCAAAAGTAATGCCTCGATCATCATGCTGTTTTTACAGAAATGTTTGCAATAAAATTGTCCACTGTAGAAATTTGTAAACTTGGTTTCATAAAAATCGGATCTACAGGGGTGGTCAAAAGTATTTTTACAAATTTGAATGTTAACTGTACTCATATTTTGAACTTATAATATAAACATTTTGGCACCTATGGAAATAGCACTTCAATTCCGTTTAAATGACACAAATATGTTCTTAACCCATTGAGCACCCTTTGAAAAGATAGAAAATTAGACAATTTTTTTTTAAGTCAAATTTTCAACTTTTTTTCTGGGGCTTAAAACAAAAATGTTTTAATGCAAAGTTGTTTCCCAATCAAAATTAATAAAAACTGCAAAAAAAAAAATTCAAAATATTTTCCCTTGTATTTTTTATGATTTTTTGAATAAAGACATCTCAGTAAAATTTTGTATGAAAAGGAAGAAAAGCGGCTAAAATTTTCATTTTTGGCTATTTTCATTCTATTACCTGTAAAATTAGTTATTTATGGTTGGAATCGGTTAGCCACAACTCAAGTTAGAAATTGGAAAAGGGTCAAAAACGTTTTTTACACTTAAAAAAAATGTATCCATAAAAAAAAATTTAAGTGCCATTTTCTGAATCGGGAAGACGTACCTTACCGGAAAACAAAGGTTTCATTCATGGTATATTTCATAGATTTTTTTTTGTAAACTGGTGTAAGCAGAGCTCGTAAATAAATGCTCAATCATTTTTCTGTACGCTGTCGGGCTCCCATCAGAACACTAAAAAATTTCTAAAGTCTGTCTTTGTCAGAGCAAAAACATTTTGTTTTGTTTTACTCCCTAACTAGATGGGAAACACATGAAAGTGTCTCAAAATAACAGTTGGAGACATTTGAAGTTAATGTTACGTTCAGTAAGGGAGCAACATTTTCGTACTGGAATTAAAAAGTGTCCTGTTATCGTTACACAGAGAGAATTAATTAAGTAATTTGTACTCAAATTGAATATTTTTCTTCTTGAAAATTAAGCATGAACACAAATACTCATTCTGAGTCCAAATTACTAACTATCAGTAAAAATAGTATTTAACCCGAAAAAAGTTGTTGTTTTTTTAAATTATGTTTTTAACTTGTTTATTTTTAATTTAATTTAATTTAAACTTACAAATAAGGTTTTTTGCCTCCGCTGGGAATCGAACCGGGGCCGCAACCATCGGAGTCAAGCACTCTAACCGCTAGGCCACGGAAGAATGCTTTTTGTAGAGGAAAATCTATAGACTTGAAATCAACATTTAACAAAAAAAAAAGAAAAACATCATCTGCAAAAGCGGGATTTTAACTCACGACCCAGAGATTATTAGTCGGATACTCTAACCACCCTAAGTCCAGAAAAATAGTTGACATACAATTTATAATCGTATTTTTAAAACAACAAAATATATGAAGGAAAAAAATAGTTGTGTTACGATATTAATTGTGGTGCATTAAATAGTAATAATGCCCAAAAAAATAAAACAACAAAATACACGCAAACAAATAAAATAGTTTTGCTACGATATTAATTGAGACGTTACTATTTACTTTCCAAATGAATAAAACAACAAAATACATGCAAATTTCCTAAAAAGGTTTTCTACTATTTTAATTGTTAAATACTATTCAATGACCCAAAAAATAAAACAACAAAATACATGAAAAATTCAGAAAATAGTGAAATACTATTTTTCTATGTTAATTTTACATAGTTTTTTTTTGTGTATAACTTTTGAATGAATGGTCCGATTTCAAAAATGTCTTCTTCATTTCGATAGGTATAAATATACACAACAAAATTGCATCTATACTTCTCGCAAATTTTTAATGGTGTGGCCGCCAGACACATTTTAAAATCGTAAGTGGGCGATTGTGGGCGTTAGAGGGGGCGTGGCGCTTGCGCTGCGTAGGAAGCCCAAGAATATGTGTGGAAAATTTAAACTTTCTAGCTTTTGTAGTTTCCGAGATCTCAGCGTTCATACGGACGGACAGACAGACAGACAGACAGAAATGTACCAAATGTGTGATGTGTGTAAATAAGTACGCTACCTAAAATTTATTCATTCGGAACGCTACAACAGAAAACTTTCGTGTAGATATTAAATATTTGCTAAAGCGGGCCGAACGAGTAAATTTTAGGTAGCGTACTTATTTAGTCGCATCTAAAATCATTTTTCGTCACAAAAGTTGATATCAGAGCTTTTGAACGTTGAAGGTGCGATCGTCACTAGTTTTTTACCTCTTAAGAAGTGTTTTTATTTGATAAAAATTGAAGCGTAAGAGTTATTTGTCAACTTTTATAATAAAAATTGGAGAATAAGAGTTATATGTAAATTTTTTGAATAGGTTAACTCTTATTTACGATCCCTGGGCATATCACATTAATATGGAAAGACACTTTCGCCAGATTCTGAAAGGCAAACTGTCTCAGGAAAACAGGTTCCCAAATAGAACAAACGGAAATGCTCAGTGTCTGAGCTAGACACTTTAAAACAAAAAACACTTTGAGAGTGTCTCTCTATAACTTTCCATAGTGTCCTAAGGTAACAGATCTTTTTCTGACAGCCTGTAAAATGGCGATAAGTTTAAAAACGATCTGTTAAGCCATAAACAAATTCCGATTAATACAGGCTTTAAAAATCAATTTATATTAAAACAAAATTTAACCTGTTAGCAAAAACACAAAAATATTGAAGAAGTAACTTTTGTCCTCTTTCATGTCCTTTTTAATTTTTGTTTGTCCTTTTTTTCCCGGTTTTTTTTTGGCTGATCTGTCCTGTTTTTTAAGCTGAGTGATGGCAACACTGTTGGCCAATTTCAGCATTTTTTGAATTTTGAGGTCCTATTGCTAAGAATCCTTGCGTCGGGGAACTTTTTGAAGAGCACAGTTTAACTTGGGAATTTGTAACGAATTCAACTATATAGCATCCATCAAGGTAAAGTTAAAACGCATTAATATTGTTGCACAGTGTAATAGAAACAAAATGTACTTCAAATGCATTGAGACATGCGAAATGTACAGAGCAACATAATTTTCATCTGTTTTGCTAAAGTTAAATATTAATTTAATATATTAATTTACTAAAAAATATTTTTTTAGCAAATCAGGTTTTTTTTATATGTGATTTAAAATTGTTACGAATAAATTTTTTTGGCCATCGTATCATGCTTTGTTGATTTGACTCGCACTTTTGGCCCCTTTTAGCCCACTGTGCGATCGATAAAAAATGTTATTCATAGAAGTCTAGTGAATTGATTCACTAATTGATTAACTATCTCTTATTTTTTTTCTACTGATTAGGTCAAGGTGTGGTTCCAAAACCGTCGCATGAAGTGGCGGCACACAAGGGAGAACCTAAAGAGCGGCCAAGAGAAGCAACCCACTACCAGTGCCTTTAGGGCTTCGACGGCATCGGAAAGGAGTATTCCCCATGAATCTCTTGACTACAGTTCTGATAGTTGTTCTAGCGTGGATTTGAGTGAGCAGGCCGACGACGATGATAACATTGAAATTAATGTTGTTGAGTAGACGAATAGTCTATAAGTTCGTGTTACAAATGTAAAATGCCACGTAGATTAGGGTGGATATATACTGATATGAATATATACTTTGGAAATCACGTTTGACCCTTCCATTAGCAAAAGAAAAATACTGGTTTTTGATGAAAAATATCTGAGTTGCCTTGAATTATTACCATTTGTATAGACGCGAAAAAAAGTTATGAATTGTTTGGGCGGAACATAATCAATGGGCCATTCTAAGACATGTTGTCCAAGAAACTGTATGCCTAAATCCACGTTTGACCCTCCGCAATTGCAAAAGAAAAATTCTGATATTTCTCTTCATTTTTGAGAAAAATATCATAGTAGCCGTTACGAATATACAAAATAAAAGTTTTGAAAAAATGCTTTACAGGGAAACAAAACATTTTGAACAAAGGGAAAAATTTTAAATTGATAAATATTGAACGGCTACTATAATATTTTTCTCAAAAGTAAAACGAAAAACCAGTATTTTCTCTTGAAAATTAGGAGGGTCAATAAAGTTTTTAGGCATATAGTCCCTTGGACAAAATGGCTTAGAAATGCCCAGGTATTGTTTTCCGCCGAAACGATTTATTAATTTTTTCAGCGTATAAACTTTAGGGCTACTGTAATATTTCTCATAAAATACTGGGTTTTTTTTTTGCCAATGCGCAGGGCCAAACATGGTTTTAAGTTTTGCAATATTGCTTACAATTCTTTTGTCACTTTTTTTAGGCCCATACAAATGGACCCAGTCTAATGTAGATGTATTTATTTCAATCGTTTCTAGCAGTGATGTAGATAAATACTGGAAGAAGAAACTTTAAATTATTTACTTTAGTGAAACAAGCTAAAATTTTACTTGTAATTTATTTTTTAAAATCACATCTCGACATGAAAATAAACGTTGATGTAAATAAAAATTCAAAAACTTATTGATTGCTTTTTATTTTATTAAAAATCTAACCATCTCGTGTTTTAAAACAATAACACTAGTTTACAAAATAATATTCTTGGTGTGCTCCCCAGCAATTGATGGCAAATTCTGTCAGTGCTGGACCCCTAGATCACAAAAATACCACTAACTTTTTTTCGATGGCACAGTTTTTTTTTAAAGATTTTTTAAAGTTCAAAATGTTAAATTTCGGACTTTTTTCGAATTTCTTCTTGTATCTCGGCAGATATCCACTCGATTGGGCCAGTTTTAGTTTTATTTTAAAGTCAATAGATCAGAGCTTAACTTTGCCATACAGATTAATATGATTGGATGAGTAGTGGCAGCGCAGAAGCTCGACAAAGATGAAAAATGTGTTTTTTGGTCGTCTGTAAGTCGGCTGTATATATCGTAAAAACTCGAAATAAATCCGTTGATAAATCGTAATGGGTACAAACTTAAAGTTTACATCCTACCGAATAAAACAAGTCGAATATGGCCCAAATCCATGGAAAACTGGATTTATGGTGGATTTTTAAAGTTCGGATTTTTCCACATCTTTTGATCGACAGATTTCAAATTTAAGTTTTATCGTAGGCGGCGACATGTACACAAAAATTTGTGGTGATGGCAGCCGGGTCAAAAAATAGCTAAATCAGATATTTAATAGCTAAAAAATTACAGAAGTGAATTTAATATTTGAAATTTATTAATTATCCAAATGGATGTTACTTATTAAAAATACGTACAGTCATAACGCAAGCAATTTTATATTTTTTTTTAGGAATTTTTAGAAATTAAATTCATTTTTATAATTTTCCAGCTTTAAAAATAGCTATTTTTTGACGCCGTTGTCGTCACCACTCATTTATGTTTACATGTCGCCGCCTATGATACATCTTAAATTTGGACTCTGTCAACCGAATAAAGTGGAAAAATCCAAACTTTAAAAATCCACCATAAATCCAGTTTTCCATGGATTTGGGCCATATCCGGCTTGTTTTATTTGGTAAGATGTAAACTTTAAGTTTGTACTCGTTATGATTTTTCAACGGATTTATTTCGAGTTTTTACGGTATGTACAGCCGACTTACAGTCGACCAAAAAACTCATTTTTCATCTTTGTCAAGCTTCTGCGCTGCCATTACTAATCCAATCATATTGATCTATATGGCAAAGTTAAGCTCTGATCTATTGACTTTAAAATAAATTTAAAACTGGCCCAATCGGGTGGATATCTGCCGAAATATAAGAAGAAATTCGAAAAAGGTACGAAATTTAGCATTTTGAACTTTAAAAAATCTTTAAAAAAAAACTGTGCCATCGAAAAAAAAATAAATGGTATTTTCGTGATCTAGGGGTCCAACACTGACAGAATTTGCCATCAATTGCTGGGGAGCATTTTGGCTGTAAACTAGTGTAATGTAATACCAGTACGCAACGCGACTTTCATGCGCAAAGCGGCAACAACACAAAATTTAATTAAGGGAATACCGCTGCGATCAGCAGAATATGAAACTCGGCGACTACGGCGAGACCTTCAAGACAATGATAAAAGACTAGAAAAGGCAGAATAAAAACGACTAATGTCAGTCGGTCAAACGCAGGGGTAAGGCTTTTCAGTCCTGATCGGAGGGATAGAGGTTTTTGTTGAGGGGGACAGCAGATAAAGAGCAGTAATTAGAAAAACAGTGAGAGTAAATTGTTAGTGCACGAAATCTAAATATTACTCACACTGCCTTTATTGGGAGTCCCTTCCAGAGAGTCCGTTAATTCTTTAAACAAACTTATCGATCATTTGAAGAGCTAGAAGTCGTTTTAAAAATTAACGAATTTATATATAATTAATTCGAATTATTTAATACTTTTTGGTCCATTTATCCATTCATGGTATTAGGGTATGTATCCATTTATAATCAGTAAGAACAGCTGATTTTAGGATCTAAGCAATGTAAAAAGTTCACTGAAATCTTAATTTGTTAATCTCAAGTTATTCTACTAGGGCATTCAGTCTTCAGTAAAGGCCGTTGTGAATTTCCACTCAGCTAAAGTCTGTTTGGGCTATATTTGCTCACGTTCAGTTGACTTCACCAAAGCGCTGCGTGCGAATTAGTTTAATTTTAGGTGTTGGTACTGATACAGAATATTTATTCTTTACGGATTTTTGCTTTAAACTAAAGGATCGTTGCAACATGGGAAACATGCAAGCCCGAAATCTTGAGACCCGTAATGGGACAAATCGGAGAAGCAGTGAGTGATAAAAAAATAATCATTTAGATCATAACGGTCTATTTCGTAATCGTTTCATAGGTATTTTATGGAACTTTCGGTACACGAGCACAGTCCGTCGTCGCGAAGAATTGGCCGTAATGGTCCACAGCTCCAAGATTAGCATAGTCGAATGGCTGGATCTCTTGGACCTCCATCAATACGAAGGTTTGGGCAATCAGCAGACCCCGATTGAGACTTATTATCATGCTTATCAGGAAACCTTCAAGAATTCAGCATCGTGGACGACGTGGTGGACATAACTGAAAAAGAGTTAAAGCAATGTGGCGTGCGTGTTGACCATCGCCAGAGAATGGTCAATAGTTTGCTTGGAATCCGAGCCAAGCGACGTCAATCGATGAATTTTGAAGGTAAGTCTCCGGCTGATATATACATATGGGCTATTATCTAATGATTTCAACAAAGTTAAAAAGCTTGAAACTTGATAAAAACAAGAGGGAACGTTATAGTCGGATGCCCCGACTATCAGATACCCGTTACTCAGGTAAAGGGAGTGCGAGGGAGATGGAGATGGAAAACGTTGATCACGCATAACTTTTTAACGAATGGTCCGATTTGAAAAATTTCTTCTACATTTCGATAGGTATTGATAAACACAATAAAACTGCATTTTTACTTTTCCAAAATATTAAAATTTTTAAAATTGTATATAAGCGATTGTGGGCGTTAGAGGGGGCGTGGTACCATTTTGAAAAAAACTTGCGCTGCGTAGGAACTCCTAAAATCTGCATCCAAAATGCCAATCTTCTAGCTTTTATAGTTTCTGAGATCTCAGCGTTCATACAGACAGACAGACGGACAGACGGACGGCAGACGGCAGACGGACAGACGGACATGGCTAGATCGACTCGGCTAGTGATCCTGATCAAGAATATATATACTTTATGGGGTCGGAAACGCTTCCTTCTCCCTGTTACATACTTTTGCACGAATACAATATACCCTTCTACTCTACGAGTAACGGGTATAACCACATTTCTATATGTCTTTGCACTAATATTTGATTCTAGTTACATGGATCCTCAACTAAGCTAAGAAATTTGAGTATCCTTAGATATTTAGTATTTTTTGGTATTTTTATACCCGTTACTCGTAGAGTAAAACGGTATATTGCATTCCTGCAAAAGTATGTATCAGCTAGAAGGAAGCATTTCCGACCCTATAAAGTATCAAATAAAAACACCTCTTAACGAGGTAAAAAACTAGTGACGATCGCACATACAAAAGTTGTGATATCAACATTTGTGACGAAAAATTATTACATTCGTCATTACATACACTTTCTAAAATTTTCTGATTCGGCCCGCCTTACACACAAAAAAAAAAACTTTGTAAAATTAACATAGAAAAATAGTATTTCACTATTTTCTGAATGTTTCATGTATTTTGTTGTTTTATTTTTTGGGTCATTGAATAGTATTTAACAATTAAAATAGTAGAAAACCTATTTAAGAAATTTGCATGTATTTTGTTGTTATATTCATTTGGAAAGTTAATAGTAACGTCTCAATTAATATCGTAGCAAAACTATTTTATTTGTTTGCGTGTATTTTGTTGTTTTTTTTTGGGCATTAAATAGTAACACCACAATTAATATCGTAGCACAACTATTTTTTCCTTCATATATTTTGTTGTTTTAAAAATACGATTATAAATTGTATGTCAACTATTTTTCTGGAGTAGGGTGGTTAGAGTATCCGACTCATAATCTCTGGGTCGTGAGTTCAAATCCCGCTTTTGCAGATGATGTTTTTCTTTTTTTTTGTTTTGTTAAATGTTGATTTCAAGTCTATAGATTATTCTCTACGAAAATCATTCTTCTGTGGCCTAGTGGTTAGAGTGCAACAATTTTTTTCGGGTTATATACTATTTTGTAGGTCATCTACTATTTTATAGGTAAACTACTATTTTTTTGTGAATTTTCTATTTTTTATGGGTTGGGACAGTTTTTACTATTAAATAGTTGATTTTACATAGTTTTTTTTTTTTGTGTAGCAAACTATTCTAGCCTTTTTCTTCTTCACTCCTCAGAGCCTTTTTTATTACAGCGTGCCGAATGAGAAAATTTTAGAAAGTGTATGTAATGACGAATGTAATTGTTGAGAAATAGATCGGTCATTTAATATTGTTTTCTAATCGCACCTAGTTAAATGCTCATCATTGTATTGTTTTCTAAATGCACATCATTGTATTGCATTCTACATAAAAGCTTTAAGCTCACACGCATAGCCGAAATTGCAGTCGATCTGCATTAGTATTGGAATATCATGCGTTTTTTTGCATTATCTTTCTGCACGTTTTTTCGGCAGTCATATAGAAGTCATATAGTTGAATTGTACCCGCAATCGCTCGCTAATCGAAAACCCGCTTAAAACCTATTGTAAAACCGCTTATTATTAATAAAAACCTCAAAACCTATATAAACATTAATACAGTCCACTTCATTTATAACCATAACAAATTTTGGTCCGTTCGAGTAGCCGGATAACTGCGTGTGAATTTGAGTTTATTTGTGAACATGAACATTCATCGGACAATTCAACAACGTGGTGCCTGCAAGGGGCAAATAACTCGCACCCTTAATAGTGCTTCGGAGTTTTCGCAGGAATGTGATAGTGTGGAAACATTGCAATGTAAGCTGGATCGTCATGTAGCCACCTTCAACCACTTTATGGACCTCTCCGAGGAGTTAGTGGCATTTAACATGGAGGAGGGATATGAAGACCCTGGATTGGATATAGCCGAATACGAGGACAAGTTCTACAGAGCGCACTCCATTTTTAGTAAAGCCATAAAGGAGATCTTGATCTTGACCCCCCAGATCATGGACAGGACCAGTCGAACCTTTTGCTATCAGGTACAGTGGAACGTCTATTTGAGGGACAAAACCAACTTCTGGAACAAATTCATACCTCATCTGGAGCAGCTAATTTAAGGTTTGAGAAAATTCGAATTCCCACATTTTCTGGCAAATACGAGGATTGGAGCCAGTTTAGTGATTTGTTCTTAAGCTCAGTAGATAATAACGAAAAGCTCTCCAAGTGCTAAAAATTTCATTATCTAAAATCTTATTTAGATGGAGAAGCCCTTTCCTTAATTAAACATATTGCCGCTTCGAATGATAATTATCAAGACGCGTGGGAAAAATTGCAAAATCGTTATAACAAGAAAACGCTAATCGCTCGATCATTTCTTCAGAATTTTCTTTCGTTGTCAACCGCTAACAATTCGAATATCGCCGAGTTACGTAGGGTAATTGACTCTGCCGATGAATGCATTCGAGGCCTACACGCGCTGAACTGTGACAGCCGCGATGTGTAGTTAATTCATATATTGCTATCAAAATTAGGCCCCGAGATCAAACAAGCTTGGGCTAACAGTAGTGTGTCGTCCAAGAAAGACGTCACCATAAATGATTTATTCACTTTTCTTTTCGCTCATTGTGATACTTTGGAGTCTTGTCAGGATTTACACGTGATGCAACCCTCAAGACCAGCCCAGAGTAGACGCCGCCAAGTCGCTTATCATGCAAGTGGATCAAATCAGTCTTCTCGCGACTGTATCTATTGTCAAGGACAGCACAATATATGCGCATATACTGCATTCAAAGCCCTGGATGTCGTAAAACGCCGTACTTTCGCCAGGGATACTAAGCTTTGTTTTAATTGCCTAAGTCGATCTCATCAAGTCAAGGATTGTAATTCTTCGAACACTTGCCGTCAGTGCAACGCTAAGCATCACACGCTAGTCCACCCGGAAGAGTCTAGATCGATTCCGATGGCCTCCGCCCATATGTCTGCGGCTGAGGTTAATAAAGTTCCTTCAATTGATCATGATGCTGATATAAATACTGCTGCTGTCAGCCATCATACTGTGGACAGGGCCAACAATCAAGCCCTACTGCCAACTATTCTGGCCAATGTAATTGACATTTGAGGCATTTTGGTATCAGACGAACATACGCAGTATCAACGCATAGTTTGGAGAAAGGAGGAGAACGCTACGCTGGATCACTATCGACTGCTGACGGTAACATATGGCTTAGCTTCATCGCCATTCCTCGCCGTTCGAGTTCTTAAGCAGCTCGCAAACGATTATGCCGAAGAGTATCCGAGAGCTGCTGTCGTTCTAAACAGAGACGCCTACGTTGATGATATTCCCACTGGATGCGACCAAATTCAGGATCTTATTGCCCTCAAAGATGAGTTAATTTCTCTTCTAAGTAAAGCTCAATTCAACCTTCGAAAGTGGAGCTCAAACTGTTGCGCCCTATTGAAGTCGTTGCCCAAGGAAATTTGTGAGTATCCGCTTGAAGCTTTAGAGAAGGACAGTTCATTTCGATTTGTTAAAGTACTGGGATTGTATTGGGAACCAAAAGCTGACGGCATTTTCTTCAAGCTAGAAATCCCCGGAATTACAACCGCTCTTACCAAACGCATTCTGCTTTCGGAACTAGCCAAGATCTACGATCCGCTGGGTTTGCTTGCACCTACAACTGTGTTTTTAAAGATTCTCTTTCAAGAATGGAATGAGGAACTACCTCCCCAATTATGTACACGGTGGCAACAGTTCGTATCTCAAATGCATTTATTGGAAACTTGTCGAATTCCTCGCTACATATCAACACCGCTTCAAACAATGGAACTGCACGTATTCGCAGATGCATCGTCCCAGGCATATGCAGCCGTCATCTATAGTCGCGTCAAAGTCAACAATGGATATGCTGTTAATTTGATAATGGCAAAGACCCGCGTGGCACCTATTAAGTCTGTCTCAATTCCACGACTCGAGCTACACGCAGCCCATTTGCTCTCTAAGTTAATGGTCAAGCAATCATTAACTGTTCCTATTTCCAGAATCAATTGTTGGTCAGACTCTGAAATAGTTTTGCATTGGCTATCATCTCCTCCCCGTACCTGGAACACTTATGTTTGCAACCGTACTGCAGAAATCTTAGAGACGTGCCCACGTAGCTGCTGGCAACATATTCGAAGTGGCGATAACCCTGCAGACTGTGCATCCCGAGGAATACTTCCAAAGGACCTCTTGGACCATCCAATCTGGTGGAATGGACCAGCCTGGCTATCTCAGTCACGCTCAACTTGGCCACCCGTTAAGGCTAAGTTTGTTCTGTCGACAGAAGAAGAGGCATCCCTGGAGGTAAAAGCCGATCCTAAGGTTAACATACACATTTCCGACGATGGAAATTCACTAACCTGCCTGATCAATAAAACCTCTTCATGGTCTCGTTTGGTAAGGATACTCAGCTACTGCTTTCGTTTTGTTCATCGTCTTCGCGGGAGAAATCAACTTTCGCCGTTTCTGTCGGCGTGGGAGCTACAACATGCCCGGTCTCGGATATTCACCCATGTTCAAAAGGAGTTCTTTAAAGTGGAATACAAGCAGTTAAGCACCGGAAAGCCATTGAAAAAGAACTCGAAGTTGATCCGCTACACCCCTTTCTTAGACGAGCAGAGTGTACTACGTGTTGGTGGTCGCATCGATAATTCTATGGCTAATTATGACGCAAAACATCCCATAATTTTGCCTAAGGAATCTCCAATAGCTGCTTTATTAGTTCGATATCAACATGCTGCATCGCTACATGCTGGAGTCGAATACACTTTTTATAGTCTACGACTAAGGCATTGGATTAAAGGAGCTCGAAACCTCGTCCGCAAAACCGTATTTAATTGCAGAACTTGCTTCTTGCAACGAAGACACACGAGTTCTCAACTTATGGCTGATCTTCCCGAGTTTCGAGTTCAACCCGCCCGCTGTTTTCTTCACACTGGATTGGATTATGCTGGACCTGTGACGATCAAAGCCTCTACAGGTCGGACACCAAAATTTGGCAAAGCTTGGTTTGCCATCTTCGTTTGTCTATCAACAAAGGCTATACACCTTGAACTCGTCAGCGATTTGACAACATACGCCTTTTTAGCCGCTTTCAAACGCTTTTGGTCTCGACGAGGGCCCATATCAGACTTATATTCGGATAACGGCACAACTTTTCATGGAGCCAAACGAGATTTAGCTGAAATGCAACGTATCGCAATCGGATACGGATTTGCTTTTACGAACAGTTTATCTGGTATTTAAGTTTTTCGAACAGATAGCTATCAGGGACTTTGACAGGGACTCGAGAAACCGGCCCTTAGTAGTGTAGAACTTACAAACTAACGAAATTTACCTATTTTTAGCTTTTTACCGCTACAGTAGCGGGTTTTTCCAAAAGTCGTAGAACAAAAGAACTGTTAAATGCAAATTAACTGATTCCATGACCCTAAAATACAGTTTGGACACCCACGCACAAAATTCAATGCGTTAGTTGTTTTGAGCTGGCAAAGGTGGCTATTTTCGTCTCTTAAAAACTTTTAAACGTAAGTTTTTACAATAATGTGTTATATACCAAAACTTAAGGAATCTGAAGGGCTATATAATTCAGATTGAAGGACTTCTGAATTCTCGACCTTTGTGCGCACCCAGCGATCACAGCCTTAACCCGCTAACCCCTTCTCATTTTCTAACAGGTCAGCCTCTCACTTCGGTACCAGAGCCATCGTTCCTGGATGTAAATATCAACAGACTGCAACGCTGGAGACAATTGCAGGCCAAGGTTCAAGGGTTCTGGAAACGCTGGAACTTAGAGTACCTCAGTACGCTTCAAACTCGCATGAAATGGCAACAAGATGCTCAGAACGTTGCCATGGACACCCTGGTAGTGATGAAGGAGCCGAATCAACCGCCAAGCAAGTGGCTGTTGGGACGAGTCGTACAACTTCATCCTGGACAGGATCAGAGGGTCCGTGTGGTCACAGTTAAAACTGCCAAAGCAACCTACAAGCTCCCCATTACGAAAATTGCTGTGCTTCCTTTGAACTGAACCGTCGTTCAGGGGGGCCGGTATGTTGAGAAATAGATCGGTCATTTATTATTGTTTTCTAATCGCACCTAGTTAAATGCTCATCATTGTATTGTTTTCTAATCGCACCTAGTTAAATGCACATCATTGTATTGCATTCTACATAAAAACTTTAAGCTCACACGCATAGCCGAAATTGCAGTCGATCTGCATTAGTATTGGAATATCATGCGTTTTTTTGCATTATCTTTCTGCACGTTTTTTCGGCAGTCATATAGAAGTCATATAGTTGAATTGTACCCGCAACCGCTCGCTAATCGAAAACCCGCTTAAAACCTATTGTAAAACCGCTTATTATTAATAAAAACCTCAAAACCTATCATTAATACAGTCCACTTCATTATAACCAGTAATAATTTTTCGTCACAAATGTTGATATCAGAACTTTTGTATGTTGAAGGTGCGATCGTCACAAGTTTTTTACCTCGTTAAGAGGTGTTTTTATTTGATATCAAAAGTTTTTGTTTGTTTTTTTTTGCTCTCATAGGAGCTAATGTATGCATTTTAATTTAAATTGGTTAATCACAATTCTATATCTAGTATTTTAAAATACCTTTTAAACGAGGTATAGCACATGTCTGTAGCTTTAGGGCCGGCTTCTCGAGTCCCTGTCAAAGTCCCTGATAGCTATCTGTTCGAAAAACTTAAAGACCAGATAAACTGTTCGTAAAAGCAAAACCGCTTTCTCGACTCTGAAATCACAGCTGACTTTTCCTTTGAATTATACCCAAACAGCTGATGAAATAATCGAAGCACGCCATTTATTGCGCTTCACAGCACAATTCTGTGCGTTAACAGCACTCTGTAATTGTTTCTTGTTCAGATAAATTAAAGCAGTCGAGAAAGCGGATTTGCTTTTACGAACAGTTTATCTGGTACTTAAGTTTTTCGAACAGATAGCTATCAGAGACTTTGACAGGGACTCGAGAAACCGGCCTTAAGTAGTGTAGAACTTACAAACTAACGAAACTTACCTAATTTTAGCTTTTTCCCGCTAAAGTAGCGGGTTTTTCCAAAAGTCGTAGAACAAAAGATTCCTATATGGAACTGTTAAATGCAAATTAACTGATTCCATGACCCTAAAATACAGTTTGGACACCCACGCACAAAATTCAATGCTCAGGGAGCGTTAGTTGTTTTGAGCTGGCAAAGGTGGCTATTTTCGTCTCTTAAAAACTTTTAAACGTAAGTTTTTACAATAATGTGTTATATACCAAAACTTAAGGAATCTGAAGGGCTATATAGTTTATAGTTTTAAAGAATCGTTAGGGCCGTTTTTAAGAAAAATAAAAAAAGGGGTGAACTTCCGCTTAGCTCCTACTCCCAATTTTGTTCAAACTTTCCATATCGACGTGTTTTTGGGTCCTGATTATTGGAAAAATTGTCAAAGTTGGCGCAAATAACGGGATCATGGAAAATAACGGTAAAAACTGTTTTTCTTAAATATCTTCGAATATAATAACTTAATCAAAAAGCTAGCTAGGAGAAATGAAAGCTATTAAATAAATGAGTATTTTATGTTTTAAACATTTTTTCTTTAAAACTAATAGTTTTCGTTAAAAACGATAAATAAGAATATTTTTTCACAATGTTTGAAAATAAAAAACCGTTGAAGCACACTTGCGTCATTTTGCCCGATATATCGCACGAAAGCTTCATGTTATATCGGTGTGTCAAAATTTATATCGATGTCTCTCGATGTATTAGCGATGATACTACCTAAGCACGAGAATGGCATTACATTTTTTTAGAAGAGCATTTCTGTTCTCGTAGTTAAATATAACATTTAGAAAACAAAATAAAATTCAAATTATACAACGGAAATAAAATTTATTAACAAAAAATACATATAAATAATTTATAAAGTTTCAGGCAAAAATTTTTTTAAACAAAAATCGCGGCGATTTTGGTTTAAAAAAATTTTTGCCGGCGGCGCTTTCCTAGCCCGTACCTTACTACTAGCTTATCCAGCTTTCATTCAGGTCATCCGTTCCATTTCCTTTTTTCGAGGAACATGAACACGATACATCGTATAAAAAGTCAAAATAGGTCCATCGCTAGATTAGAAGGTAAAATGCTGTTATCGGCTAATCGAAAACTATCTGACGCCATTTTTATGGCGGGATATTGCAGTATTTTAAAATGTTCACACCCAATTTAAAATACTTCTTTTAGTTTTTCCTCGAAAACCTTTATGTTTACGAATAAAATGATTAATACACAAAAGATCCGTTTTATAAATATCTTCTGTTTTTGTCTAAAACATTTTTTGATTTTTCTTTTATTTTCCGAAAAAACAGAAAATTTTACGATTTTTACCGTTATTTTTCAAGATCCCGTTATTTGCGCCAATTTTGGCTATTTTTCCCGTAATCAGGACCCAAAAACACGTCAATATGGAAAGTTTGAAAAAAATTGGGGGTAGGATCTAAACGGAAGTTTATCCAAAAAAAGTTAACAAGAAAGGAAGCTAGCTTCGGCCAGCCGAAGCTTATATACCCTTGCAGATCATTCCTATTAATTAACAAATCGCAAAAATGTTCAATTTTCTAATATTTCTCATTAATTTTCCGATCGTTCCTATGGCAGCTATATGATATAGTCGTCCGAATTTGATAAAATTAAAATTGAAATTCGGAAATATTTAAAAAGAGTCATATCCTAGAGTAGAAGATAATACAATAAAAACTAGTGTTGGGTAAAAACTGCTCATTTGGGTGAACATGTTCACTTGTTCTTTTTTTCCCAATGAGTCAACTCACTCAGTTTGCTCACTTGTTCACTTGCACACTTGTTCACTTGCTCTCTTGTTCACTTGCTCACTTGTTCACTTGCTCACATGTTCTGTCCTTAACTTTTTCACTGGCTCTGAAAAAACAGCTCATTACACTAGTTTACAGCCGAAATGCTTCCCAGCAATTGATGGCAAATTCTGTTAGATTTGGACCCCTAGATCACGAAAATAGCACTAATTTTTTTTTTCGATGGCACAGTTTTTTTTAAAGTTTAATATGTTAAATTTCGGACTTCTTTCGAATTTCTTCTTATATCTCGGCAGATATCCACTCGGTTGGGCCAGTTTTAGTTTTATTTTAAAGTCAATAGATCAGAGCTTAACTTTGCCATACAGATCAATACGATTGGATGAGTAATGGCAGCGCAGAAGCTCGACAAAGATGAAAAATGTGTTTTTTGGTCGTCTGTAAGTCGGCTGTATATATCGTAAAAACTCGAAATAAATCCGTTGAAAAACCATAATGGGTACAAACTTAAAGTTTACATCCTACCGAATAAAACAAGCCGGATAAGGCCCAAATCCATGAAAAACTGGATTTATGGTGGATTTTTAAAGTTCGGATTTTTCCACTTTTTTCGGTTGACAAAGTCCAAATTTATTTATTTATTTTTTTTTTTGGGGTTTAAGTTACCGCGTCACCCGTAAGTGATGCGGAGTTATTTGGCCGCCCTGAGTTCCAGGAAAACGTTTCAAATTCACTTAACCTAAAAGTGAATCCACACCACGCGGTCCCTTGCCCTACCCGGCGCGAATTGTGCGTGTTCCTTCAAGGGCCTGTGAATGTGGACTTAAGTCCAAATTTAAGATTTATCATAGGAATGAACTATCCAAATGGATAGTACTTAATTAAAAATACTCACAGTCATAACGCAAGCTATTTTATATTTTTAAAGGAATTTTCAGAAATTAAATTTATTTTATA